GTATTGATCCTGGACTGATCTAAGATAACTAAATAAGAGTGATATATAGTGGTACCTCAGGTTAAGTACTTAATTTGTTCCGGAGGCCCGTTCTTAACCCGAAGCACCACTTTAGCTAATGGGGCCTCCTGATGCTGCCAGAGCCCAATTTCTGTTCTCATCCTGAAGCAAAGTTCTTAACCTGAAGCACTATTTCAGGGTTAGCGGAGTCTGTAACCTGAAGCGTATGTTACCTGAGGTACCACTGTACCTTCTTAAGGTTTTAAGCACTGCCTGTTTATTACAGAACTTGAGAATATTGGAAGTTTCTTTCTTTGTTGGACAATGCCGAGCTATCACTTGTATAAATAAATATTCTGGATGTAAAATTTTAGACTGGCTGGTCACTTATTTACATTCAAGTTATAAGCTGGTTTTGTTGTACTGAGAATTTGGCATGGTTTAGCAGGGTCTGAAGCTGAAAAAGGGCATGCATGAATACCCATGTGGCATCCTGCCCTGAAAAAAGCAAGCTGGTTTATTTTTGAGCCTTCTCTTGTACTTAAATATATGAAAACAACTGATGGTGCTAATCTCCCTAGAATAACTTTCTTGGGTCACTATCTTAGCCTAAACTACCTCACAAGATAGTGAGCCCAGGTGTCAATGTTTATATTAAGCATTTGGGTGGGATACATAAAATTAAACTTGAGTTACATTGTCTACAACAAAAAAATGTCTCAAACTGGCTGTAATTGATTTGTTTGTAGGATTGTACGATTTAAAAACAGCAACACTGAATGTATTTTTGTTACTTCTGGAATTTTTTTCAATAAAAATATATTTTTTAAAAAACAATAACAGTATTTGTTGCTGCTATTTCCTTCTGGGTAGGCACATTACTGCCCAGTCAGTTAGACTAAAATCCTGAGTTTCTTAATTCTCCTGGGTTTCTACTGATGGTAGCTTGTTGTGACTTGTTTGCAAAGCATTTTTAGGATAAAATTGCCTGCATCTGCCAGGACCTTGACTCCAGTTACAGCAGAGGAATCTTGAGAGGTGCCCAGAACACCGTCTAGTTCTGTTGTGTTGGATGAGTTTCAGTTAGTAAGGCTCAAGGACATGGATTAGGTGCTTGGATGGGTCAAGGTGACCACTTGCCCTCTGAATCCTTGCACATCTTGGCTGATAAAAACTAGCGAGGAAGGAGCAACTGGCTGGGCCAGGTAGGAGATTAATGCCTCCCTGTGAGAAGGGGTGGTCCCTGCCTGCTTGAAGAAGGCAGCGGTAAAATAAGTATCAGTAAATAAAATTTAAAACAAAACGAAAAGAGAAACCCTCACTGGATTTGGAATATCGATAAGTAATTACCACCCAGTTACCAATATCCCCTTGGGCAAGTTTCTTGTGCGGGTAGTCGTGGACCAGATCCAGGTGCTCTTGGAGGAAAATGATTTTCTGGATCCATTTCAGTTGGGGTTTCGGCCTGGTTTTGGCATAGAAACTACTTCGGTCACCTGGTATGATGATCTCTGTCTGGGGAGAGACAGGGGAAATGTCTTAGTTGATTTTCCCCAACCTCTCTGTGGCTTTTGAGTTACACTTAATTCCATGTATTGCAACCTAAGCCTATTGGAACGGTTCTTCACTCTGGGAAATGTGGAATGTATAGTACACGCTTCGCTCTCGTGTGCAATGTTCATAGAGTCACAACTGTCTTTAAGTTGTGCATACTATATATATTTTGGCGTATTGTACTTTTTTCTGGCTGATTCTTCAGGACCAGATTTATTAGGGCCCGTGCTTTTGAGGAAGCGTCACACTTCCTCTCCTGAAATGTGGAACAGTACTTCCTCAAAATCGCTCATTTCTTTTAAAAACAAAACAGAATGTTAGTTGTAACCCCATTCAAACCAATGGAAGAAAACACAGCTATTAATGGGACCTATAATGCAAGATTAAGCATGTTTACCCAGAAGCAAGTTTCACTACCCAGTGTCAGTATGCTGGAGTAAAGCCTAGCACACTGATTTCAGCTACTGCTCGTTTAAGGTTACATGAGAAAATAAAGGTTACTGTCTGCCAAGAAGATAGGAAATTGACCAAATTCCTAGAAAAGATCCCAAAATCCCTTAAAACAAACAGAAATAGGAGTGGGACTCATGCTCAGGAAGCATGGAAGGCAGATGGAGATGGCATTCCTGACATATTTAATTCCAGTGCATATTTCTTCTACACAACACCATGTCTGCTTTTTTATTAGGACCTTATTCTGCTTACGGCAGGAGATACAGCTATTCATTTCTCTTGACATCCATCTGTTTTTACACTCAAGTACCTCATTAAGATAAATCTGTTCACTCTTTCTCATCCCAGCTGATCTTTCCTTTTTCTCTCATCTTGCTCTTAAGATCATTTGCTTGTATGTGGGGGTGGCAGTTTTAGTGCATTATATATAAATTGAGTCCTGTTCTGCTATTATTGCTAAACTTCTAATAGCAGGAGATTTTTGTTCCTTTTGGAACATGATTAACAAAATGCTGCTCTAATCCAAGAAGGGAGTTTCTGCCTTGCCTCCAACCAGATATATGCCATTTCTCTCCCAATTTTCTTGCATGTCCAACCTGAGCATCAGTGCATTCTAACTTGAAAACGTTCCTCCTGCATTTTGCAGAGGAGCAGTTCTTAATAGAATATAAAGGGTCAACAGTACTGCAGTGTAGTGAAGAAGATGCTTAATATGATGAACTTTGAGTACTGCTGAACAGGGAAGAATGTCTTAAACACTAGGCGATGCCATGTGGATTTTGCCTTCAGTCTTCAAAACATCTTGACCTCTTCTGAAGATGTTTGATACTGTTATTTTTACTTTGTCGAGGCAACACAGATTTTGCTTGTAAGCTGGTTTGCAGAGAATTGACTGGCTGGAAGCCGAGGTGTTGCTGCATGATTCTAAGCATGCTTCCCACTGCTTTCAAAAGTGTGTCCTCTAATACACGCAGTCCCTGATGGCTGCTTTAATGCAAGGCATTAAAATGAGCAGAGGCTATTGTATTTGGAAGTGTTATTTGCTAAGCTGTACACAGGGCTATTTCCCCTGCAAGCTACAGGGAAATCCCTAACATAATATGAGGAAAATTTTCCCTATACCCCGTTGCTCATAAATCAAGCCTATTTCCCCTCTTATGGGGTATAAATGAGATTCTAGCCCCATTTTCTTGGCATATTTTATTTATAAATCAGCTTCAAGCAGAACTGTCACTTGCTGAATCCAATATACAAGTAATTTTTTTGCGCTCCTGGGAGCATAATCTCCTGACCTATGCTGGGAGAGCCACAAAGACTCTGATGTCATACTAATTTAGAAACGCTAGGGAATGGATTCCCCATCCCCTGTATAACATTGGAAAACCCCGTCCTTTTCCCCTTGAGGGGGTGGGTAGAATCATAGTGAAATAAAAAATGGCTGGCTATTAATGATGTGTTTGCCCCTTGAGCAAGGAGTATATTCTGTTTTTAGATATTGCAGGTGTGTCACAGCAAGCCATTCTTACGGCTTGCTCTTCTACTAAAAGTGCCCAGAGGGTGGTGCACAACATACTCATAAAACCACGTTATGTAACCTCTGAAAGTCTAGCAAACCGTTTCTAAAAGCAGTAACAAAGAATATGTCGTATAGTTAACACTTAGGGGGAAAACCTAACAGTAAAAAGATTCAGGTAGGTAGCCGTGTTGGTCTGACGCAGTCGAAATATATAAAAAAATTAAAAAATTGTCCAGTAGCACCTTAAGAGACCAACAAAGTTTCTTCTTGGTATAAGCTTTCGTGCGCATGCACACTTCTTCAGTAAAAAGATGTTAACACAGAAATGAAACTAGGTGTTGCCTATTAAAAGCATGACAAAATAAGGAGCGCCTTCCATTTCTGTTAAAAGACACATAAAAAGCAAGCTGGACATGTTGACGGCAGAAGAGTATTCTAGAGTTGTGACATCTTAGAAAACGCCACATCCTTGGTGCTTTATGAATGACCTGAGGTGGCTCTGAGAACAGGTAACCTGGCCCAGAGTTAAGGGCTTTTAATACAACCAGTACTTTGAATTGAGCCAGAAAGGGAGTATGACGCCAGTGATGGCTTTAGGGACATGTTACTCCCTTTCACACTCCCTCTTAAGAGAAATCAGCTGCCCTTATTCTATATGATAAATCTGCAAGCTGTGAGTATTCTGTCATAAGTTGCCATTCTTTAGTTGCAGACTAAGCATATAGAATAAGAGAACAAGAAGAACATATGTTTAGAGAAGATTGGAAAACGTTTATTGAATTTATGGGGGGAAATTGTGTACACCTGAAAACGTTGGCAGCATTAAGATAAATTTCACAGTGTAAATAAGTTTTGATAGATGCAATAATGGAATACTGACTAGTTCAGTTTTTGTAAAATATGCAGGGATTTATGATATGCAAAATGAACCATGGAAAGAGAAGAAGAGAAGCCACTGAAATTCGAAGGCTGTGTAAAGGAGTATTTTAAATTGTAAAACAGAAAATTTAATAAAAATTAGAGAGAAAACAGCTGGCTGTGGCAGCATGCAGACTAAGGAACGTTTGGCGGCAAGAGATTTCGATCTTGTACAGCAAGACCGACAGATGTAATATATATTTCTATGGTAGCAATTCCCCTGCCGTGGTTCAGCTTAGATCAGGCCACAGATATCGAATCAGCAATAAAAATTGAAAATAAAATGAAACTGCCCAGTTAAAGGGGGGAGAGGAGCAACATCCTAGAGTAACCAATCAGCGATACAACCCTCAATTTGAACCTGCATAACGTAATAAAAATGTTAAATATATATATATTTTCCTAGGGTGACGTCTACTACCGCAGCCAGGACTCTCACTAATAAAAAGCTCGCAGACCAGGAGCGACGCATGCGCCCTAAGCAGGATGGGAGGGGCTGGGGCCGGCCAATCAGAGGAGCGGGAGCTCTCGCGCGCCGTCCAACGGCCGCTCAGGCCCGCCCGGGCGCGTGCCCGGACCTGCCCAACGGGGGAGCGTTCCATCCCCCCCCCGCCCGCGCGCTCCTCCCGCTACGTCACTCGAGGAAGACGAAGGAAGCCGCCATGTCGGACGCGGCAGATTCGCCATAACCTTTTCGCCGCCGCGGCCTGTACGCCGCCGTTTTAATAATAATAACAGCTTAATAATGCGCGCCCGCGTATAGATACGTATTTATTTATTTTAAACAAAATATTAGCGCCCCTCGAATTTGAGCGCAGGGTATGGCGGCGGCGGCGCTTTTCCTGAGGGGACGAAAGTGCTAGTTCTTCCCCTCTTTTTTAATTCTACGGTTTTTATTACCACCCCTCGCCCTCCTCATATCCGGCCATGGAAGCTCCGTCGGCAGGTGAGTGCGGGCGCCGAGGGGGGCCTTCTTTAATATATGGAAATCGTGTAGGCGGAGGGATTCCGCCCCCGCGCGGGGCCTGACGGGACGTGGCGCGAGAGTCCCGAGCGGGCGTCGTCGTCACCGGCACTTCCGGTTCAGTGGTGGGCGGGCATGGCGTCGGAACCGGAAGTGTGCGCGTGCGCTTGCGCGCGCGTCTGGCTTGTCATCTCGGTGCGCACAACCTGGTTGGCTGTGGTCCTCAGGGCGGAGAAAGCGACTTTTTCTTAAGGACGCGAGGAGAGCGAAGCTGCCCGATGTCCTCTCCTCATAATGGAAGCGCCACGCCCTTCCAGCTGCGCCCACCTATTTTTCGCCCAAACGCAGATCTCGAACCCACAACCCTTGGGGTTTGAGAGTCTCGTGCTCTACCTATTGAGCTATCCAGCCGCCGAGGCTTTGGAATGGGAAACCTTGTTAATGGAACAGAGAAGCCTAACTGTGGCACCGAGTGAAGGAAGCGCTGCTTTTTATCTGTCCCATCGATAACCTCAGCCAAAGCTGCCCATCCTGCTTTTAATTGAATTGAAATATTTAATGTCACTTGTACAGCTTGTATATGGGACACGGGTGGCGCTGTGGGTTAAACCAGAGCCTAGGACTTGCCAATCAGAAGATCGGCAGTTTGAATCCCCGCGATGGGGTGAGCTCCCGTTGCTCGGTCCCTGCTCCTGCCAACCTAGCAGTTCGAAAGCACGTCAAAGTGCAAGTAGATAAATAGGTACTGCTCCGGCAGGAAGGTAAACGGCGTTTCCGTGTGCTGCTCTGGTTCACCAGAAGCGGCTTAGTCATGCTGGCCACATGACCTGGAAGCTGTACGCCTGCACCCTCGGCCAATAATGCAAGATGAGCGTCGCAACCCCAGAGTAGGTCACGTCTGGACCTTATGGTCAGGAGTCCCTTACCTTTACCTTACAACCTGTATACAGTGAGATTAAGAGAGCTGAGTGGGGGGTGCTCGTGTAGTCTTAATTTCCCTCGTTTACTGATGCACACCCACCAAACCCAAAAGTCAGTTGCCCTGTTGTTATTTTTTAATTCAGCAGCCTAACAGCCCACGGATAGAAGCTGTTCTTTACCCTGTTGGTGCGACTATTCATGCTTGTATATCTTCTGCCTGAGGGCAGGAGATCAAGAAATTGCCGGCCAGGGTGTGAATCATCCCTGAGAATTTTCCTCACTCTCCTGAGGCAACATTCTTCCGCTATTTCATCCAGTGGATTCACGGGACAGTCCATAATATCACCACCCTCTGTAGGCACTTCCTATAAGATGATGTCAAACCAGCGTACCACACCGTGATGCAGTATGAAAGGACACTTTCTGTTGTGGACCGGTAGAAGGAGATCATCAAATGTTGATTGACATAGTTCTTCCGCAATGCCCCACAAATTCAAAGAGGGGAGAAAGAAAAGAAGCTCATTTCCACTTTTCCTAGACCAGTGGTCCTATGCCCTATGGGCCACATTTTCAGAATAAAAATTTGCTCGCACCCCACCTAATTTTTTTATTGTTAAGAAATACATTGGAAAGGAAAAGCAAAAACTAGCAGTGCTGGATTTATAGCATAGAGTGCAGCCTCTTTATAATATGATCATGGGGCATCCAGAATGTATAAAACAATGCATCTGCTTACTCAGGAGTTCCATGCTTCATGTCCTTGCATTTTGAAAAAGCTTTAGCTAGCCTTTGCCGTTGAAGTTGGTTTGTTGTGGGTCGTCATGTATAACAAGGATCTAAACCTTTTGTTCTGACCCAGTGCCTAACTTCTGAGTTGTCGCACGGGGTTATTCTCAAAATTATGTGGACTCCTAGATAGTACATCACTACTAAAACGAGTTCTTGCACAGGCAAATAGTCAGATTCCATTTTAGATGCAGTCCTACACACGCTTACCTGGGAGTAAGTCCAGGGTAAGTAAGTGGGGCACTCTTCTGAGTAACTGTGTGGGGTAGATCTGTCAGTAGAGCAAGAAACTCTTAATCAGAGTTGTGGGTTTGAGTCCCATGTTGAGTAAAATATTCCTCCATTGCAGGGGGTTGGACTAGATGGCCCTTGTGGTCCCTTCCAACTCTACAGTTCTATGATTCTGTCTGTCCATGGCTTTCTTTCCATAAGCCTTTTGAAGCAGGAAGACCTACTAGGCACCCTTTTGAGTACCTGGCACCTCGAGCTATAGAAGTTTAGAAATTGCAAATTGCCATTCCTATGTATGTGGAACTTCCGTTTATGATGCCTCTGTCCTTGCGTTTCTGCTATAGCCTTTTCCTGTTTGATCTACTGGATTTGCTGCCATTTCGTCCACCTGATCTTAGCCTGTTGCCTTTTGTGCTTTGCGGATGACTTTTGTAACTACCAATACACCGCTGCTGCAAGTTCTTACTTTGAATTGTCCTCTTTTTGTTACACCTTCTCATAAAGAAAAATAACGAAAGACTTCTGAAGGAGATGTTTTGTCAGTGCTGCTGAAAATATTTTTGCCCCCCTCCCCCCCCATTTGAATCAGCCCTCCTTGGAATAACATTTGCCAGTGTGCCTCTGGTCTTGAGCTCTGTGTTGCAGCTGCTACAAGTGGCTGCTAGAGGTTGCTGTTTGCACGCAGAAGGAGGCTCTTTCAAACCAAGCAGCTGGATGCCACGCTTAACTTGCTAGCTGTTGACTTAATAATCAGGGTTGCTAGTCAGTTAAATAATTTTGGCTGATTGATTGGATAAAAGGCAGGTGATTAATTAACTACAGTTAAGTAAAATCTGCATTATGTCCAAAACGGAAGGTGGGTGCCTTTTGAGATTTTTCAGGTTGTTTTCTTCAGCAGTGTTTGCATGGCCAGTAAAGTTCAAGGCTCTTCATCACAGGGGAGGATCCTTGAGTAGAAAAGACTCCCTGTTTCAGATGTTGCAGATGCAGGGAACCTTTATCAGCCAGAGCACAGAGAAATGAAAAGAGCAGAGCAGCCTTAGAGAGGGGTAGGAAGGCAGGGGCCTTCAGTCCTTGCAACTGCCTCATTGGGGCAAGACTTACTGGGAAGAGTTTTTAGGATCACTAGGCCTGCGCTGCTTTGGTTTCTTTGAATAAAGAGTTAACTGCACCGGCACCTTGTTTTTTTATTGCTCTTGACACTCCCCCCCCTCCAAATAACATCACAGCGGGCACCCAGTATTTAAAACAGCAGAAATAAAAGCAATTAAAAGCTATCAATAAAAGAGTTAAGAAATAACAAAGCAGCTGTAAAACAGTAAATAACAAAGCGGCTATAAAATAACCATAAAATCTTAGCTGCAGCAGCGTAAATCAATTTCTCGTTCAACGCCTGTGCAAATAGCCGCTCTGTAAAATAGATGCCAGGTGAGTAGCTTCAATGAAAGGCCCTTTGCTTTGTCCTCAGCTGCCTTACCAATGGGGGGTGGGTGTGGGGCTGGTGGCAGGGCCAAAGGAGTTAGCTCTGCCATTGTCTGGAGAGTCCGATTGACGGAAGGCTGAAAGTGTCGCTCCATCTATTATTAGTGATGCTCCTAATTATCCTTAGGTCTGAGGGTGTGTCACAACAATGCAACCGAGACCAAACAGGAATCATACATCCAGGCAGAAGGAGGGCACCCCATTTTGGTCCAAGAAGAAGGAGAGGATGAGGTGCTGTCTTCATGCCAACCACTCTTAAGCATTCATCTGACCCCTGATGGCAGAGTGTTGCTTGGTGTAGCAGAAGGAGTCTCTGAGATTTTGCCCCACAGTCTGAGAACCGAGGTACAGCTTTGTGTGTAGCAAGGAGCCCAGTCTATTTCCTTCTGCTGTGGAATGCAGCACTTGCAAGAACAGGGCATTGTAAGGAAATTAACAGTGAGATCCTACATGTTTACTCAGAAGTAAGTCTCACTGCATCCAGTGGTGCTTACTCCTTACTAAGAATGTTTAGAATTGCAGCCCTAGGAGGGTGTGTTTTGACTGGTACAATGACAACAGTTGATTATTTTTTATTTTCACAATGCTTTTGTGTCAAATAAACTGGTCCTGAAATAAATTAGATTTTAGGTTGGTAGGAGAAGTTTGTGTGCAGCAAGCTGAATAATTCCACTGTCATTCCGCTCATGGTGTACCTGCATACTTAGCCGATTAACAGCTTCTTTGATTCTCTGCATATTTTATTCATTGTCTAATTAATTGCTCTGTTGACTTCCCCTCCTAGTTAATTACCCACTGCCTCCTCATCAATTCCATTCATGCTTAATTTGGAATATTGTTTATTTGATTCTTTGCCCTTAAGTGGCTGTTTCTGTTATTGTCCTGTTGATTCCCAGCCTAATTATCAACTGATTTATCAATTACCCGTTGCATATTTGTTCAGCTGCTACAGGGATCGGTGGCAGCCTTCTTATTATTAGTAATTATTTATACAGTGTGCTGTGTGATTTCCCTCTCCAGTTCCATTCATCCTTGCAACCAATATGAGAAGCTGTTCATTATCATTCTGACTTTACGGGCAGGGAATCGGTTTGCAAGCGTGAAGTTCGCTCAACTAAACCACAGTACATTATAGCACCAAACTTCTTGGCACATGTAAGATAAGTGTTGCTAAATCCGAGCTAGGTAGATCAGATCTGCAAGCTTTCTTCTTCGTCTTCTGCAAAAAAAATGACTATATTGAGAATAAACAGAATAGAATAAAAGCCTTTAAAGCATGCATGAGGATCACATGTCCTGACAGATAAACCCCAGCATGGCCCAAGGATCAGGATGGAGCTTAATGGCTTCAGTCCTGTATACCTGAAGGAGGATCTCCTCTCCAATTATTCAACCTGGACACTGAGGTCCAACTCTGAGTGCCTTCTGGTGCTTCCCTTATTGCAAGAAGTAAAGTTACAGGGCAGAGGGTCTCCTTGGTAGTGGTGCCTCACCTGTGGAATGCCCTCCCGTTAGATTTCAGAGAGAGAAACAATTATATGTCTTTCCGACAATTGAAGTTTTTTTATTCTAGTTTTTTATTTTTATTGGATTATGATTTGATATGCTAATTGGATGTTTTTATTGGAAAATTAATAAACGCTCTAATAAAACAACAACAATTATATGACTTCCCAAAGACATCTTTGGGAAACTCTATGATTCTATGATCTTAAGGCAGCCCTGTACAGGGAAGGTTTTAATGTTTGGTGTTTTACAACTTGTTGGAAGCCTGCCAGATTGGCTTGGGTAACCCAGTCAGATCGGGGCCTTAATAATAATAATAATAATAATAATAATAATAATAATAATAATAATAATATCTGGAAGGCCACATGTTCTCTTGTCTATGCTTGAGAGAGTGGGCAGCTCTTCCTGACTACCGTCAGCTTTGGATGTTGCAAAGGAGCATGCGCTGGGTCCAGTGGGCACAGGGACAGCCAGAAGGGTTGTTGTTTTTCATTTCATTTTCTGCAGTTTTTGGTGCTCTGCAGAAATGCAGGAACCGTTAAAGGGCTGGGACTCTTGCCAAGCGATCTAGGCAAGACAGGTACAGGAGCCCCGAGAGAACAAAACGTTGGCAAAAGGGAGTCAGTCTATATTCAACTTCTGCATATCCAGCTGGCCCTGTCTACCTACCCCAACTTCCCCCGAACCTTCTACTGGGGTTTCTCACTTCTTCCAGCCACCTCCCACTAGTAACTGCCTCGCCACCCTGTCCATTTGTGACATCACAGGAAGTTTGTAGCCCGTGGCAACTACTTAGGGATGCATCTACACAGCCTCGCATCCTGGTACTGGAAAGGGGAATGTCATGAACGTTACTTAGATGTATTTAGAAATACCTTGATTTAGAAGGTAGAAGATGGCTTGCTTATGGTCTGCTGTCCCCTTCATTGCTGCTTTCGGGGAAAGCCTCGTTGGCTTGTGACATCCATGAAAGGCAAACACAGATATGGTGAGGGGATTGGCCCTCATTCAACAGTTATCACCCAGCCACCTCCACTGGCCAGTCTGTCAACCTCCGCTGGCTTCCATCCATGAATATCCAGTGGTTCATTCGCCCAGAACCTGGAGGGCAGCCTACACCGCTATCTGAACATGCAATTCCCAGGCATACCGTGTCTGGTGGGTGACCTATGTCCACACTCTCCATTCATACTTACCTCAGCATCAACCCACAAATAGCCACACAGCTTTTGTCAGTGGTCTTCTGAAGGTGAATTTCAACCAGCTTACGTTCACAAACTTCAGCCTCCTTCAGCCCTGCGGCATCCCGGGCTTCCACATGCTAATCACAGCTTCTGCCAGGTCCATCGGCAGCTTCCAACCATGGATATCTGCCGCTTTTAAGCCGCGGTCCTGCTCAGCAGGTACACTTACGTACTCGTTGCTCCACAGTATCTCATTGATGGATGATGGCCTCCTTCCATTTGCCACTTCGCCTCCATGCGGAAGGAGACCACCAAGTACTGAATAACACAGCTGTTGTCCACTGTGTCCTCTTCAAGCTTTTGCCTTGGGCTTTCTCCTTGGGTTGCTTTTGTATATCCACTGAGCTTCCATGTGCTTTTGTGACATCACAGGATATCCACAGCCAATAACAGCAGCTGGAGAGGCATCATCATCATGACCTCACAATGGTGTGTGCAGCTCAGCAGCCATTTCCCCGTTGCTTGTTTGCTGTGTACAGCTCACTCCTTATCTGTAATGACACCAGAGAAAGGCATGCCATGAATCCACCTTCCCATTTTGATTCTCTGGTGCCCTATCTGCATAACCTGGCAACCCCAAAATATAGATGCCCTTTTACTCTTGCAAGGTTGAATGTATTGCCCTCAGCTGTACTTAAGGGACGATTCTACCAGATTCCACATGAAAAACGCTTATGTCCCTGTGGAGATAACAGCACCGAATCGGTGGTGCATGCCCTTCTGGCTTGCACTCTTTATAAAGACTTGAGGAATGAGATTATCACCCCTCTTTTATTGTCCATTCCGGGTCGCCCAACCACTGCCACAGATGAGCAGGTGACAGCAAAGGTTGCAGGGCTTTTAGCTGGGGCAATCAGAATAAGATCCACTATTTGACTGTGTTTTATATAATCTGTGTTTTATATAATCAACTTTTTATTTCTGTTTTGTGTATATTGCAATGTTCTTTTGTTGCTATGGCCTATGGCTGATGCAAATAAAGTATCATGCTTTAATTTTAAGGATGCCTGATTGCATGCGAGTGCAGCATGTCAAGTGTGGAAAGTAAAACCGATATATTTTGTTGTTTGAGGTAGAACAGAAAGTGGTTGTGTCAGGGAACTGACATCGGAGCGAGAGGCGAAGGGGAGGCTCCCAGATGATGCTGGCGAAGGACCCAGCAGCAGGGGGAGAAACAGCTCAGTAGAGGGGGAAGCAAATCAGCGCAACACCAGGGATAGAGGGGGCAGATGGGGGAATCGGAGAGAGGGCTCCAGGACTCTTCACTGGACATCAGTGAGGAGAGCACAGGTCCTCCGCTACCCACGCCCTCCCTGCACAGAAGACTCCCGCGCAGTGAGAGGAGGAGGAGACTGGGGGTCAAACAACTTTTATGTTGGAAGAGGTTCAAGAAACGCCCACTGACGGATTCTGCCAGCGACTGAGGCAGCCACGATGAGAGAGGGCTGTGCAGTCAGAAAGGTTTAACAAGGCAAATTAGCCTAGAAAGGCACCAGTTTACGCACGAGTAACTCATACCCACTACAGGTTGAGTCCACCACTGCAGTATCCCAGGGCCAGCAGAGCTATTTTGCTACCCAAGCAGATGATCCTACGATCATATCATTACAATAATAATGAAGGGTGACATCCAGTATTGTGTGATCTGGTTTGTTCTTGTGCAGCAGGCCCTTCCTCTTTCCTGGCTGCAGTCATGCTCCTAAAATCTATTTTAGGGTGTTGGGAGGGGTCCTTCTGGAGCAGATTTTGGGTATGCATGTAGCTACAGGGAGAAGGAAAGCAGACATCTGTAGTGCAAGCGGGCAGTCATAATCAGGTAGCAACCTAATCAATTAACTAACAATCTGCTTGTTTTTCTTGTTGCCCAAATTCAGCCACTTGAGACACGTGCCATACACTGCCAAACAGTAAGGCCGGTCCAGAAAGCATATTTCCCCCCTTGCCATCATAGAGAGATAAGAGCCAAAAGAGCATAGATTACGCTCATGATCCAGTAGCATGAGATGACCAACTTTTATGTGTTCCGTGGGCATAGCATTATATGAATCGTGCGTGGTGTAGTGAAATACAGTACTGGGATGTTCATCACCATTTCAACTGCTCTGAGAGGTGCTGCTTACCTACAGGAAGAGTACAAAGCACACTCCTGCAAGGCTCACCATGTGCACCATGTGCCATTAATCTAGATACCTTTTTTATTCCTTTCTATTGGCAGTAGGCGGCTATCCAGGGCACCCTGCATGCCTCCAGTTCCCACTGTTATGGAACTATCAGTGCAAGCAGAGTGACAGTGAAAAACTCTGTGCTTGTACTTTTTTGGGGGGGGATAGCAACCACTATGTATTGCTTCTCAGCGATCAAACCAAATTAACTACAAAAAAGATCTTGACTTGAATAATTTCATGGGTTTCCTTTTTTCAGATTAACTGTTAAAATGGGAAAAGAAGTTAATAACCCACCTTAATTTATGTTATATTTTCCAGGAAACAGATCCATCTTTATGTGCAAGCTCTGTAACTTATTTTCCCCGAACCAGTCACAACTGCTGTCTCATGTCTCCGAGAAGCATTCCGAAGAAGGGATTAAGGTGGATGACATCGTTATTCCTCTCAGACCTCTTACGACGCCAGCAAATCTAAATAAAAACGGAGAAGGTACGGCCAGAAGTCGGCAAGGATGCAAATAATTATTACCGCTGTTCTTTGCGTTATGTTAAATTTATAAAATTGCTTCAGCCTCAGAAACGACCAGATCCTCTGCTTAATTCATGACAGCAGGAAAGTCTTTTGCTTAATTCATGAACGCTTCCAACTGCAGTGATTAAATGTCTCTGCATAAGGCATGGAAAGCTTTGATGGTTTCATGAGTCTGCCAGAGGATTTGTTTGTTTCATGAATTATAATATTTGCTTAATGTCTGCAACTTCATATGTTGAGCTATCCCCCTTCCTTTTCGTAAAAGAAAAGAAGCCTTAATGAAGCAACTTCACAGACTCAGCTTTGTGTGCGTATGTGCATGAAACCTCACACAGCTGCACTAACTGTTCCGCACCCCTGTTCACGAACAAGCACCCCCCCAATCCATTACCTTTCATTCACATTCATCCCACAATCCCCCAACACCTGTTATCCTGATTTCTCTCCCCCCCCCCAGGACTTTCCTTTTCCTGCCACCTCTTCCTTTCCCTTCCCTAGTGGCCCAGCCACAGAAAATGTCCTTCGGGATGCTGTTGCAGGTGCCACACTCCTTGCTGGAGACTACAAGCTCTCTGCCACCTGATCACCTCTCCTTGTTCCCTTCACAGTTGCGGCTGAAGTTGTGGCATCACAACCACAAAGAGATCAGGTGGTTGGGAGGCCAGATGCTGTGGTTTGGCATCTTTCCAGAGGATGCTCTAGCTCAGCGATGGCCAGACTTGGCCCTCCAGCTTTTTTTTGGAACTACAATTCCCATCATCCCTGACCACTGGTCCTGTTAGCTAGGGATGATGGGAGTTGCAGTCCAAAAACAGCTGGAGGGCCAGGTTTGGCCATTGGTGCGTTTGCACTCCATGGCTGAGTGTCACATATGAACCTGCCTGCCTGGTGGCCAGTTATAGTAGCAGCTGGGTTGCTGAATGCCAAGCAAAGCAAGAGAAGGAATGGGAGGCTACCTTCTGCAGGTCTAGAATTGTTTTTGTGTGTCCAGATGAGAAGTTGGTGTCTCCAGACAAGACTTCAGCCCCCATAATGTGGGTGCCATTATATCTGCTGCAAGGCTGCCATTACAGGGGAAAAAACCAAACTTCCATCTGGCAAGGAGACAGCCCTGCAGCTGTAACGCGTAGCATGGCTCACAATGTGGCATGATGTCCTCCTGTGAACGTCACCACTAGAAATAAACGGCAGCGACGTGGAGGCTTTCTTTGTGATGGTAGCTATCACATTCAAGTGGCAGGAGTTGTGGCCATGGCTCATTTACTTGATAACCGACACATCTTTTTGAAAGCTGAATGTGCCCAACTTTGTGCCTAACTACCAATGAGAGGGAAAATTCAGGCTTTTCTTTGGAAAGCCACCAATGCAACACAAAATAAACAAAATTGCAGTCATTTGATGAGCTGATTGCCTGGATGTTACGTTGGTGTTTGCAAAAAAAAATATTAAAATCTGTCCCCGTGATTCATTTCAGATAATAGCTCTCTTTTTATGCAAAGACAGAACAAGGACTATTCATAATTTATAATGGAATTTTTTTTAAAAAAAGAATAAACCCAACCATGCAGCAAAGGTTGAACAACTTTGCTGATGATGATGTCAACTCCACCACCTAAATAGGGTGGCAATTTCAACTTCTCATTTTTAAGAACAACATTGCTCCTGATGATAAAGGATTTCAGGCTTGAAGTCATTACGAAGGCTTCCTAAGTCCAGTTTGGCAACTGGATTTTACAAAAGTTACCAGCCAAGCCATCTGTGGCCTAGAAAAAGAGAGAAGGACCCACATTTGCAAAGCTGTTCTGCTCAGTCGTCCAGAGGCAGTTCTTTCTTGGCACAGACCACCTGGTTTTTTTGTTTTTTACACACCTGCATTATTGTATAAATGATAGCAAGGCTCAGGGGTCAGTGTACTGGAAGAAGCATCTGTTATTGCTTATTGTTGATTTTGGGTGATATCCAGTGTTACTCAGACTCGGAGCCAACCCATTTAGCTTAATTTCTGTTATTTCAGTAGTTGGACTCTCGGTGTGACTAACAATGGATATCACCCTTTAATTATTTTATATTGCATTTTTTAATATTGTCTTGTTTATCAGTCAACCAGGATGGCTATAATAAATCAAATTAATAAATTAGAAATACCTTCCAGTACATATCTAGGACTCGATGTATAGACCAAATTCAGTTCTGCTGCTCATTGAATTAGCTGGCTATTTTTTCGCATATGTGGTAATTGCAGATATGGTAATGATAGTACGGACGATAATATTTCTAATTTTGTTACCCTTTTCAAGCATTCTTTTTTAAAGGGAGTGGTGTCCATCTTCTGACCCCCACACATTCCTTTGGGGTTTACGAGACATGTAGGCTCTCTTCTGATCTCCAGTGAACATCCAACACATGGAGATTGAGCGACCCCTCCATGTCTTGGATTATTTCACTTGAGTTGTGATCTTCCTGTATGGCAAAAGCCATTGTGTGATGGGCCAATCGTTTACTGCTTGAAAATCTTACCTTCAAGTGGTGATGCAAACTCGCTTCCACAGTGTATAATTTGTTATATGATGGAAGGAAAAGAGCATGTGTAGTTTTTGCTATGGAATTTTAATGTGTTGTCTTGAGCTATCTCCCCACCCATGGCGGGGAAATAATCTTCAGATCTTTCTGTGCGTTTTGTGAAGTCCTGCTCCTCGGGGTATCAAGACTTTGTGCGACCGTCATTCATTAGAGTTATTGTTTTTGAAGCGCTCAAAACTATCAAGGGTTCTGCGAAGATAAAACCAGCAGGCTTGTAATCTATTCCTAGATTCAAATCAGCTAGCTAAATGTTACACCTACGACCACCGTCTGATAAGAGTGATTTTGTGGTGTTGTGTGTGTGTGTTTTTTTTACTTTTTTAAATGGCAACTTTGCTTTTCCTTTTGTGTATGTGTGAATAGCGGTACAGCTTGTTATGATTGTACCCGGTAGGTCCACCCCACCCCCACCCCCCGACACTTTCCCCTATGTATTCTGAATCTATACCAAATAATTAATGAAGCTCAGTGCTCTAAAAATCCAAGCACATGTTAGTCACATCCCAAGGGAATAATGAAAATGTAGGGGGTTTTTTTCCAGCACGGTAGCCACGGTTTTGCTCTTCTGCAGCAACAGCATTTAATCTCCCCCCCCCCTTTCCCCAATGCATGCCTGTTAGAGAATTTACAAAATTACATACTTATTAGATGGCACTTGGATGAAAAATGTGCATTGGAGAAAGAACAGTATAAAGATTTTTCTCTCGACATAGTTTATTTCTCAATTTCTTTTTGAAATGTCATCTCTCTGGATATTAGTCTAGGCAGAATGTGTTTTCTCCACTTATGCATGGCTTTGAGTGGCATTTGCTGGCCTCCCGAAGTCTAAATGACAAAAGAGCCGCTTCTCCCCAGCAGACAGGTAGGCAGGTTTCATAATAGATTAGATGAGGGCAGTGCTCGCTCTTTTCCTATACCAGGAATGGAGAGGCTGAGGCCCTGGGGTCCAGTGTGGCCCTCCAGACCTTTCTGCTTGGACCTTGGAACTGTCCCCAGGCCGCACACCCTCAGTGGTCTTGCTTTGAACCTGTCCCCCCCCCCAATCTGGTTGGAATGTGCCTGTGAACTGCTAATGCCCCTTGACTGGGTGGAGAAGAGAGAGAAGGGGGGGTGGGATATGTGTAGAAACAAATACACAGGGAGATTTTTGGCTTTGGCCTTGCTGACCACTGGCATGTGACCTTCAAAAGGTGCCTAGAAAGGATTTCAGCTGTCGGACTTTCAGGGTTTATGCACCCCTGCCCTAAAAACCTACATCTTCACACCTCAAATGGAAAATGAGGGGACAGAGTTAAATGGGCTGAACAAAAGCAGTAAACTCTGGGGGGAAATATTTTCCCCAATAACCCCACCATGGACAATCAAGGCAAGGCCTCCCTTTGGAGACTTGCTTCCCACTATGAGACCCTAGAAATAACTGCTTAGAGAAATCCAGACCCAGTTTTTAATGTGCACAGCTTTAGAATCGGAAGTTCAAGAGAGCTCCTTTTCTTAATATTTTTTTCTCAAGGGCTGTCACGTGGAAGAGGGAACAAGCTTGATTTCTCCTGTTCTGGAGAGTAGGACTCGAGCCATTGGCTTCCAGTTATAAGAAATGAGGTTCTGAATAAGCATCAGGGTGAACTTTCTGACAGTAAGAGCTGTTTGACAGTGGAACAGACTCCCTCGGAAGGTGGAGGACTCTCCTTCCTTGGAGATTTTTAAGCAGAGGTTGAATGGCCATCTGACATGGATGCTTCAACTGAGATTCCTGATTACCCTTGGACTAGATAACCCTTGGGTCCCTTCCAGCTCAATTATATGATTCTATGACTCCAGGGCTCATTGGTACTCCAGGCTTAGCTCCCCTATCTCCTTGCAAAGCTGCACCTCCTGCACATAAATGCAATATCACAAGGAAGAAACATGGTATCTTGGCTGCCACTAGAAGCAGCAAGTGCTTGGGACACAGGGCAGCCCTTTGGGGTATAATCTTGGGACTTGGGCTGGCCCACCCCATAATCCAACCCCCAAACCTGTAGTACAGGCTTCCTCAAACTTGGCCCTTCAGATGCTTTGAGACTACAGTTCCCATCATCCATGACCACTGGTCCTGCTAGCTAGGGATCATGGGAGTTGTAGGCCAGAAACATCTGGTGGGCTGAGTTTGAGGAAGCCTGAAATGTTAAGTCTTAGGATACTTGAATGCAGGAACAGCCTTGAGGTTAGGCACTCTTTCCGAGCACAATTCAAAGTGTTGGTGCTGACCTTTAAAGCCCTAAACGGCCCTGGTCCAGTATACCTGAAGGAGCGTCTCCACCTCCATCGTTCTGCCCAGACACTGAGGTCCAGCGCCGAAGGCCTTCTGACGGTTCCCTCACTGCGGGGAGCCAGGCAGAGGGCCTTCTCGGTAGTGGCACCCGCCCTGTGGAACACCCTCCCACCAGATGTCAAAGAGAAAAACAACTACCAGACTTTTAGAAGACATGTAAAGGCAGCCCTGTTTAGGCATGCTTTTAATGTTTAATAGGTTATTGTATTTTAGTGTTTTGTTGGAAGCCGCCCAGAGTGGCTGGGGGGACCCAGCCAGATGGGCGGGGTATAAATAATAAATTATTATTATTATTATTATTATTATTATTATTATTATTATTATTATTACTACTACTACTACTACTACTCTTGGAACGAACTCGCCCATTGCCAGTTGAAAGAACAGCGTAGGTGCTCATTAAGAGCCACGCACAGCTGCTTGACGACTTCTTAACATTCCTCCCAACAGAGCTTCTCGTAGTGAAGAGGAAAAGAGGCAGGCCGAAAGGATCGACCAAGAAATTTTACGCTGATGAAGAACTGGCAGAAAGCAGCAACTGCGCTCCAAGCGAGGCTGCTCCAGTGGGACCCGAGGAAGGAGGGGAGTTGGCGGAAGTTCCGCCAGGCAACCTGGAATGCCGGAAGTGCAACCGGAAATTCTCCAATTCCCGGCAGCTACGGAAGCATATCTGCATTATCGTCAAACCCGAAGATTTGGAGGAGGAAGGTGATGCAGGTAGATGAGCTTTCTCTTGTGTTTTTCTGAAGGCATGTGCTGTGATCCACAGAAGAACAATATGTCTGCACGTGGGGAAAGCCAACATACACAAAGTTGGTGTTTTCGTTTGCTAAGTCTACCGTTGTGGCTCCTGCTGCCAGCCAGGCAAGCTGCTGTTGAACGTTGAGGATCATTTAGGATTGATTGGGCCTCTGGGCAAATTCAGGAGAACCATGGTCTTACACAGTTTGGCCCTGTGGCTTCACAGCTCGACAACTATAGGAAGGTATTGGAAGGTTACAGAAAGGAGCCTTAACACTCAAACAGTATTGGACGGATGACTTTGAAGCACTTAAACAGGGCATACTCCTTGGTTCAAAGCAGAGTTAGAAGCTCAGATATAGAAGCTAGGTACCAAATGGCTCCTTAAACCAGGGTTACAGTCGCCATTTGGTGGCCAGACAGCTCAAAAGTTGTATTCTTCAAATTTTTGGTCCTTTCAATTCATTCGGATTGTGCAGATAAAAATATAACTGATAGAATTCTACAGGATGGGGTATTGGTGTGTGAAAACTGTGAAGATCCGAGGATCCTCAGGCATGCACCTCCAGGCCAGGCACCATCCTGGTACCCAGGCATCTTCAGTTTGTTGCAAGAGGCCGATAGCCATGTGCAAAATGCACCTAGTGAATTTTGGTTCAAAGTAGGTACGTCACATCATTTATATAGGTAACTTCTTGCATTTGTGGGCTGTTTTCATTTTTAGTTAAGCACCCACGTTGACTTTGTACATGCAAGATAATTTTGAGTACATATGGAAATTTTCCACTAAAGCTGGTTGCCTATGTTGCTTTCCCCAGAGATTAATTTATAGGTAGCATTGGGTAGTATCTGGTGCTATGGGATCTAAATAAAGCTGGCAGGTCTTGAAAGAAGCTTTGGGGGGTAACATTCTTTGTTTTCTGCTTTGTTTTATTGCTTAAGAAAGCCGTCTGGTTGCCTCAATTGTGACATGTTTCCCTTCTCTCCTCCACATGTTATTTTCAGCAGGACTATTATACTATTCTAGCATAATTGGGATTAGTAAATGCTTTTAAATGTGATCTTTATGTACATTACTGAAACTCGCTGTCCTTGACCCCACAAGCTCATTAAAACCATAAAATGTGACCTTGATAACAGTTTCTTACGTAGACTACTCATGGTTTTTCCAGCTGAAATTGGTTTCTGCTTTTATAGAAGAAAACAACTTTTCTGTCTGCAGCTGATGAGAAAAATAAACCAGTCCATGTCATGCAGGAAATTAATTCTTGCCACTGCCCAATGCCTGCTTTTTGATACTGACATAAAATACGGCCTAGCTTGGGATAGCCAATGAGTTGGCCTCCAGATGTTGGACTACAACCCCCATCATCTCTGACTGCTGGCCATGCTGGCTGATGGGAGCTGTAGTCCATCAACATCTGGAGGCCAACCCATTAGCTATCCATGCACTGGATCTTTGGGACAATGCCCATGGGGCATTTTCCAAGCTGTGAGATATTGGTTTGATTGTATTACGTTGTTAACATTCTGCCTACCAACCTTTTAAAGGCTTCAGATGCGTCTAAGCCTTTGGTGAGACAGTATCTTCCCAAACTCAGCTAGAAAGGCCCACTGGGAACTGTCAAGAACTCTGGCTTTCCATGCCAGTTTCCCTGAGAGGGCTTCAGATTCCAACAGAACAGGGTACTCTCCAGCTCAGGAGGCGAAAGAGAACTCCCTTGTAGATGCCTATCTAAGGCAACCCATATTATCTGGTTCCAGGACCTGAAAAATGGTTGGTTGTCTGACCAGGGTGAAGCTTAAAACCAACAGCGGTGTCCTAGGTGCCCTGTTTATTATGCCCACTTGGCCAGGAATTAGATCAAATGGCCCACGTAACACCAAGCCACTTCGGTCATCATTTCACACCTGGTTCAAATGTTACAAAAATAATTGTTCCCTCTCCATTTATATATATATATATATATATATATATAGTGCGAAAATGGCAACTGTCCTGCAGGGGAGTGCTGGTAAAGATTTTAAACAAAACGAAATCCCAAACGCTCCAATGAAGAGCAAGTTCAAAGTGTGCCAATTAAAGGACCAAAACATGTACTGCAGATTCACCAGGGAGCCCCCTCCAATTACGAATGCACGACACACGGCGGAGGAACCAATTAGGGACGCTGAACAGAAAATATTGATGGCTTGAAAAGTCTAGCTCGAAATGCTGTTGAACATACTGATTCATATGTCATTGACAGCCGCCTTCCTCAACAGTAGAGACGTGAACATCCCGTAAATGGGAGTCTAAATTCAGATGCAGCATAGCATTAAATTACTTGTGCATGCCACACTGGGATTTAAATCGCATAGATCTGGATACAGGAGGTCAGTTTATTAGTTTGCCAAATCAAAGTGCCAGCTGTTCAAACTGATTGCTTAATGTTCCTTAGGAATGCAGAGCCAGAGTAAAGACTATTCATCTCAATCAGGCTGTTGCGAGGGGGAGGGGGGGGAATTCTCAAAAAACCTCCCCACATTTGTTTTAGTCATTCTAAGTCGAATGGGCTTGCCGTTCACCCCCAAACAGCTTGTAAATATAGATGGAAGGCAGAGGAGGAGAAAGCAAAATGTCCAGATTGTGAGGAACTGGACAATGCACCCACTAACAGGGCTTTTGTGGGGCCCCTTCCCCTGCAGCTGTCATCTGGTAGGGTTGCTCAAGAACTTTGGCCAAAAACTTCTTTTTTATTGTTGTTGTTGTTTAGTTGTTTAGTCATGTCCGACTCTTTATAACCCCATGGACCAGAGCACACCAGGCACTCCTGTCTTCCACTGCCCTCCGCAGTTTGGTCAAACTCATGCTGGTAGCTTCGAGAACACTGTCCAACCATCTCATCCTCTGTCGTCCCCTTCTCCTTGTGCCCTCCATCTTTCCCAACATCAGGGCCTTTTCCAGGGAGTCTTCTCTTCTCAGGAGGTGGCCAAAGTATTGGAGCCTCAGCTTCAGGATCCGTCCTTCCAGTGAGCACTCAGGACTGATTTCCTTCAGAATGGAGAGGTTTGATATTCTTGCAGTCCATGGGACTCTCAAGAGTCTCCTCCAGCACCATAATTCAAAAGCATCAATTCTTTGTCATTTTTATTATGGCAACCCTATCATCTGGCCTTCATATACTGTACCCAGTACCCTCGTCTCTGCTCAAGGTATTGTTCACACTCTCTGACGGTAGTGAAGTTCTACTTCCTCCCCATAGTGTTACCTGTGTTAACCCCGTTTCAAATACCATTTCCCACCTTTGCAAGCAACCTCACCGTGCCCATTCAGTTCTTGCACTGTAGGCCCCCCACTCTCCTGGATCGCAGCCTTCGACTGCAAAGCTTTCTGAGGTTGCAAAATTGTTCCCCTCCTGCTTCCTGATTTTGGCATTTTAGAAGCTCCCCTTACCCCCGTGTCAAAGTGCACAAGGGACAGTAGTAAACATTTTGCAGGCTGGTTACTTTTACAAGAACAGAGTGGAACACCCAGGGAAGCCGCCGAGGGTGAAACTTTGCTGCGCAAGATGAGAATCCACGTGTCCCTCCTTTTACCTTCTTTCCGATGTTTGCTCTTTAGGTAATGATTCTGACGTTGACCTTGACAGGAGGGAAGATGAGCGAGAACGAACACCAAAGAGGCAACGGCTTCAGAGAACCGAGAAGAGCCTTTCAGCGAAGGACGCAGACCAGCTCTCGGGAGCTAAGAATCCTATTATAAGTGTAGTTCTGACAGCCCACGAAGCAATTCCAGGTAACTGTTAACTGTTCACTCCTAGAAACTTTTACTTCAGGAACCCATTAAAATAAAATGAACAGCTCCAAACATTTGCAATCTGAAGCAGACCTCATCATTCCCTTTATCTCATCATAAAGATCCCCCCCCCCAAATGTAGCTCTTAAATTGTAGGCATCTGCATTGCTGCAATTGCAGTTCAGAATCTTGAGAATCTCTAATTTCATTTCATTTTATTTTTCTTTCGGTTATCAAGATTGCAGAGGGGAACAAATATTGAAGACATGGAAGAGTAGGTGATTCACATCATGATTTCAATCAGCAAGGGGGGGAAACTGGTTTAAAATTATTGATTTCAATCAAGTTTCCTGTTGATACTTTATATGTTTCCTAAACAGTGGTGCAAATTTGACCATTTCCTTTGGCCCCTTGTCTTAAGGTATTAGCTTACATAAATATTTACAGTTTCTTTCTTTTTTTGTTTAAGGATATGTACTATTATTGCATGCTGCCCTTTCTCTAAGGAGCTCCAAAGCTGTGTGTCGGTTTTTCACAATGTGTCTACTTGCAAAAGTGCACACACATTTTTTGTTAACCATGCGTAGCCCCAGAACTCAGCAGTCTGCAAAGATTTTACAAGCTGACATCTCATTTCAGTCCTGAATCAAGCACTGTCTTAAACTCTGACCAAAAGTCTTTTGGGAAGTAGAAGGGGGCAGGGAGAAAGGCCAGCACATCACCTGCTCTTTTCTCCCGCAACACAAGACACCATTAGGCTTTTGAGATGTAGATAAACAAGTTCTTCCCTCCCCTTGTTTTGTGCAGCGGTGGATTTCAAGCTGTTGTTCTGATGTCCCAGAACAGTGGAAGCTGGAGATTTTTGCAGCTTTTGTCATACACATATCATTGCCTTTCTCTTTCTCTCTCACCCACATTGATTTCTCCGATGCATCTATAGCAGTGGTTTTCAACCAGTGTGCTGTGACACCCTGGGGTGCCTTGAATGATGGTCAGGGGTGCTGTGGGCAACACTGACCTCTGTCCCTCTTTCCTTCCCTCCCTTCCTCTGATGCCGTCTTGCACCTCTGCCTCCCAAAGAGATCTGTCCTGAGAGATCTGCATTGGCTCCCAGTACGTTTCCAACCACAACTCAAAGTGTTGGTGCTGACCTTTAAAGCCCTAAACGGCCTCGGTCCTGTATACCTGAAGGAGCGTCTCCACCTCCATCGTTTAGCCCGGACTCTGAGATCCAGCGCCGAGGGCCTTCTGGCGGTTCCCTCATTGCGAGAAGCCACGTTACAGGGAACCAGACAGAGGGCCTTCTCGGTAGTGGCACCCGCCCTGTGGAACGCCCTCCCTTCAGATGTGAAGGAAATAAGCAGCTATCTTATCTTTAAAAGACATCTGAAGGCAGCCCTGTTTAGGGAAGTTTTTAGTATTTAATGCTGTATTGTTTTAACACTCGACTGGGAGCCGCCCAGAGTGGCTGGGGAGACTCAGCCAGATGGGCGGAGTATAAATAATAAATTATTATTATTATTATTATTATTATTATTATTATTATTATTACACAGCTGTTGTTGCAGCAGCCCTGGCTACAAGCTCCCTAGGCGGATGGTGTCTCTGGGGCTTCTCAGGCCCTTGTGGGGCAGTGTGAGGAGGCACTTCTCTTTGAGGTAGGGGGACAGAGAGCTCAGAGAGCAGGGGCGGCGGCAGCGGCTGCCCAGATAACTCCCAAGCAGAAGGGAGAAAAGAGGAGGCTGAGGGAACCCTCCACAAGGGCGGGGTGTTTAAACGGGCTGAGGGGCTGCTGACTCTGCAGGCAAGGGGTAACATAACTGGGCTCCTGAGGCCCGCACGGGTGCCGCAGAAAGAATGCAGTTGGTCAAGGGAGCTGTGGACCCAAAAAAGGTTGAAAACGTCTGATCTATGGAGATGTTTAGGGCACTGTAACTTTTTTCTTTTCACAAACCCATAAAGACGTTACTTAAATAACACAAAATTTCCCTAGAGAGTTTCACCAGACAGAAAAAGAGAGATTTATTTCATAAGGTTTGCAGCTGGCATATATAAGATAAACTCATGCATTTCCCCTGCCCGCTTTGACTACAGTAGATCATCTGAAATGCAGGTTCACATTATTTAAGCTGCAGGGATTTTGTTATGCCTTAACACTCGGTGTCAACCTTTCATCTGAGCTGAATACACTTCACAATTGCCCCTTTCTTCTTCAGATGTTCTGTAATAAAATCCTGATAGAAGATGCCATGTAAGCTTTCGATCCTCCTGGAAGAACAGTAGGAGGAAAGACAGAGCATTAGTAGTCTCTCTTTTCTGGGGTATTGAGAAGGCTGTCCTGAAATGCTTGCATAACTTTTATATTAGCTGCTCAGTCCGCTCGTTTTTCAGTGACACTCGGTATCAGGTTGAGAGGCATTCTTCACCTTTTTGGCATGAGACTTGGGCCAAATTCTTTTCATCGAATCTGACTGATTGCATTTTCTAGTCGGAAGAGGTCAGACGCACTAACAGAGCAACCCAGTATTCCTATTATGCTGGACCAGAGATAGTTCTGTGACTGCAGCAGAGCGGCTGCAACATCCAATGTGTGCTCAGTCATGGAGGGAAGCAGAAAAAAACTCTCAAGTCGAAAGCATGAAAAACAGTGTAAAAATTACTGATGGAGCCACAGCACCCCTGGAAATACTGTACAACTATGATGCGCCAATCTGGGACTGTGCTGGTGACGATGCCCAAATGCTGCATTTATACAGAGGGAGCCATAAAACCCACGCTGCAGACATCACAAGAGTAGCCCAGCCATAAGGGTCATGCAGAGGTAGGGACTCAGCTCTTATCTGAGGCTAAACCTTGGGAGTAAAGGAGCATTTTGCTTTCCCCAGCTGCTGCAGCAGTTTTAAGGGCAAATATGAGCACAATAAAGGGATGCGGGTGGCGCTGTAGGGTAAACCACAGAACCTAGGACTTGCCGATCAGAAGGTAGCGGTTCGAATCCCCGCGACGGGATGAGCTCCCGTTGCTCAGTCCCTGCTCCTGCCAAACTAGCAGTTCTAAAGCACGTCAAAGTGCAAGTAGATAAATAGGTACCACCCTGGCAGGAAGGTAAATGGCATTTCCGTGCGCTGCTCTAGTTCGCCAGAAGCGGCTTAGTCATGCTGGCCACATGACCCGGAAGCTGTACTGCAGCTCCCTTGGCCAATAAAGCGAGATGAGTGCCGCAACCCCAGAGTCAGTCACGACTGGACCTAATGGTCAGGGGTCCCTTTACCTTTACCTTATGAGGACAATAATTTCTTGCTAATATTTTCCTGCTTTTGAACATAGACCAGGTGATTATACATAATATTCAACAGGCAGTATTTCTATTTGGTATGTGTTGTTAGTATTTATCCTAGTCTTCCCTAACCCAGTGCCCTCTGGGTGTTGCTGCACTACAACTCCCATCAACCCTGACCATCAGCCATACCGACTGGGGCTGCTAGGAGTTGAGGCCCAAATATCTGGAGTTGTGACCCAGAACATCTGGGGAAGCCTGCCTTATTTTATTGTGAATGTGCATGCACGCGCGAGCGCGAGCACACACACTTAAAATCTCAGTGTGCAGGTGATTGGTTGTTGTTTTTTTAACTGAATTTTGTGTGTTTATTTTGCTTGTAGGAGCTACAATAATAGTTCCAGTCGAGGCTGCTGCTACTCCTGAAACGGAACAGCCAGCAAACCCAGAGACAGTACCGCCAGACTCCTCTCAGCGAAGGGGCTACCAGGAATATGCCATTCAGCAAACCCCTTACGAGCAACCGATGAAATCAAGCAGGTAACTTCCATTTTCAAAACAAGTTCTGTTTCACTCCCTGCAGAAACACTGCATAACCTTAAAGCGACCGAAGGGAACCAACCAGCTGAAGCCAAGCTTCCAGAAAGATGATCCTGGAGGGTATGGAAATTTAATTAACACATAAATATTGTCGATTTCATTACACAGTGTAAGTATGCTTTAAAAAAAAATGCATCCAGTGGAATTTGCTGCTTGCCTCGTCTTGGTCACGGGGTCCACGAGGCATACTTTTTCAGGTGATTAGCATGACTAAGATTGTATGAGGACAGTATCTGGTGATGTAGCCCTACAGGTAGGGAACAAGGAAGAAATGGGAGGGAGGGAGGGAGCACGAGGCCAGAGGGGGAGTACAGGGAGCCTGTCAGTTGTCACTTAGTGGCATCGGACCATGTGCAGGGTGCTTGGGCCAGATCCACCTGACCCAGGAAAGTTCATACGGGACTTCTGGCCAATCACAATGGGGAGCCAATCAAGGGAGCAAAAACATCCCCAAGTGCTGCCCCTTCCTCAGCCCTTCCTCTATGTCAGGTGTGAGGACCTAAAGCCATCTGGTGGACCAGATCCGTATCTTCCCTACCCCCACATAGACCCAAGTCTGCCAGGTGGGCTGGGCCACCAACCTGTCAATCACCTGGTGTCATGATGACATCACACAAGCTATTTTTGCCCATGCACTTTGAAATCAACCTGTGCAGGCAAAGGGACAGCGCTGTTTAGGTCCTGACAGCCAGCTGCTGGTTCTGAGCATGAGACTTTGCAGGTGCCACTGATCGGCAGACCTCTTGTCATTCCAGCTGTGTCTTTATCTGCCTCACACTTGACAAGACATGTAGGCATGGCTTGGTCAGAACAGCCTCTTTGGCCAAATAGGGAGACCTGGCAAGTCAAATTAGAGCTGGATGTTCCCTACTTCTGGTCTACGAGTATCTTTTCCATGTCAGCACCCTCTAAATCACCCATGTTCCAAAATATAATTACGATAGAGTGCTTGGTATTTATTGTATTTTTGCTCTTTCCTCCCTTTCTTCTTTTTGGTATTTTTTTTTATCTCTCTTCTTTAGGTTAGTTTGGTTTTTCTTGCATTTCATGCTGAAAACATTCAATAAAAATTGATTAATAAAATACAATAAATTCCCACAATCTAATCTGGCAGATAGATTTTTGAGAAATGTACCCCTCCTCCCCACTGGTGACATGGGGCTGTCCAGAACTGAGCACACACTTTTAAGATACAGATTCTAGGGTTGTCAAGAGTTTGTTTAATACCCCAAGTTAGAAAAGAAATAAACATTGAGCTCAACCTGAAAGTGGCTGGCAGCCCTCTTGTTGGCTAGCTAGTTACTGAACAGCAGCAAAAGGCATTTCTACCAACTTATTCCTTGGAATTGGCAAAGTACCAGGGTGGGGGATCAAGTAAAACTGGGAGAAAAGTTGTCTCCTCCCCTTTCTGACCAACAGGAAGCATGGAAGGGCAGAGATAGGAGAAAACAGTCATCCACTCAGCCCCAACCAACCTGGTCTTGAAAGTTGGCTGACGTTTGCATGCCTGCCTTAGCGGCGTAAGCGATTTGTGTCTCAATCCCGTTTCTCTTTAGGTTGGGCGCAACCCAGCTGAAGATCTTCACCTGCGAATACTGCAACAAGGTGTTCAAGTTCAAGCACTCGCTCCAGGCCCACCTGAGGATCCACACCAACGAGAAGCCTTACAAGTGCTCGTTCTGCAGCTACGCCAGCGCCATCAAGGCCAACCTGAACGTCCACCTGCGGAAGCACACGGGGGAGAAGTTCGGCTGCGACTACTGCCCCTTCACCTGCCTGAGCAAAGGCCACCTCAAGGTGCATGTGGAGAGAGTCCACAAGAAGATCAAGCAGCACTGCCGCTTCTGCAAGAAGAAGTACTCGGACGTCAAGAACCTGATCAAGCATATCAAGGAAGCGCACGACTTGCAAGACAAGAAAGTGAAGGACGTCTTTGACGAGCTCCGGCTGATGACCCGCGAAGGGAAGAGGCAGCTGCTGTACGACTGCCACATCTGCGAGCGCAAGTTCAAGAACGAGCTGGACCGCGACAGGCACATGGTGGTCCACGGGGACGAGAGACCCTTCGCCTGCGAGCTGTGTGGCCACGGAGCCACCAAGTACCAAGCGCTCGAGCTTCACGTCCGAAAGCACCCGTTCGTCTACGTCTGCAGCGAGTGTTCGAAGAAGTTCGTCAGCTCCATCAGGCTCCGCTCACACATCAAGGAAGCGCATCGGGACTTGCAGGAGGCTTCCGTTTTTAACAGCTCCATCAACCAGAGCTTTTGCCTCCTGGAACCAGGAGGGGACATTCAGCAAGAAGCCCTTGGGGAGGAGTTGTCGCAGACCGCGGCTGAGCTCTCGCTTTTAAACTCGAAGGAGCTGTGTATATCGAAGAAGTCGGGCGAATCGAGTGCGGCAGAAGGAAGCCAGGATGAGGACCCCGGTGGCAATTTGGAAACTTTCCCTGCTCCTCCTGTAGAATCTGATAGCTCTCCAGTTGCAAGTGGAACAGATTCACAGTGCCAGCCTGCGGCAGAATTAGCCTTGCCAGATGTGTACCCAATTAGCGCTTCGGATGACCTTCTACAGAAAAGTGCTCCTTTGGCTTTGGATGAAGCGAAGACCCTCCCTGGAAAGGACTTGTCTCCTGACCCCTTCATTAAATTCGAAAGGCGAACTAATGCAGATTTCTGGAGATGGGAGCCCCAGTATAAACCAGAACGAGCAAGTTCTGCAGTGTGCTCCTGTCCCTGAAGAAGAGGGCCAAACCCTCTGTCTAGGTGCTCAGGAAGCTGACAAGTCAGCTGCTGAAAAAGCAGACTCCCCCACGCCAATGTCCCACCCGGAATCCAACACCGCCATCAGCGAGAATTCAGATTCTTGCACATTGCCTTCAGAGAATCGGACCGGAGCTGCGGCCTTTATGCAGATTTTGGATAGTTTGCAAAAACGGCAGATGAACACCGCCTTGTGCGAGAAGATCAGGAAAGTCTACGGAGACTGGGAGTGCGAATACTGTGGTGAGGAGTATGCAGAGTCTTGGGCGGGGATGGGATAAAATATACATGGGATGGCTTATGTATTTCCTGGCTTACGTAGTTTTGTGGAAAGCTTTGGTGGGGTTGTTTTTTTACTTCCTGCCGAGAAAAACAAAAGAAAAACCAAGTTCGCTTCTGTGTTAATAGATCAATAGTTGTGTGCACTCTGGAGGTGCAATGGGGCAGACTGTTCTCTTCCAGCAAGAGGGGCTATGTGCCAGGTGTAATAGCGGGGAAAGAGGCAGGCAGCAGAACTAGTGAGAGCAGTGAAGCTAAAAAGAGGTTTGACAAGCTGGAAAAGAGGAGCTGGAACAGGTCAGAGCAGGAAGGATGAGGCAGGGCTATAAACTGCACACCTGAAAGGAGATTGCAGCACGGACAATCATTTTACAGAAAGAGATATATGCAGTGGAATGGGCAAGAACCAGTCATGGTGGAAAGGGGCAGAGCAAGATTAAGAGCCAGTAAAACTATCTGAGTTTGGGGGGATTCACTGAGCACAACAGAGGAGCAGTGGATCTCAGGACCTCTCTCGTATTTATTTGCCCTGTGCCAGTTCAGTGGCCTTTCCAACCTATTTCTTGACTAGCAGTAACTTATCAGGCAAAGAACTTCCCTCGCCCTGATACCTGTGCATTTTGATTTGACACCTTGGGTGTCTTCTTGTGGCGAACAGTTTAGGAAGCTGCTTAGGAAGTTGAGCCCTCAGCGAGTCTTATTGTGTACAGTGGTACCTCAGGTTACAGACGCTTCAGGTTACAGACTCCGCTAACCCAGAAATAGTACCTCGGGTTAAGAACTTTGCTTCAGGATGAGAACAGAAATCGTGCAGCGGTGGTGCGGCGGCAGCAGGAGGCCCCATTAGCTAAAGTGGTGCTTCAGGTTAAGAACAGTTTCAGGTAAAGAACGGACCTCCAGAACGAATTAAGTTCTTAACCTGAGGTACCACTGTATTAAATTTATATACAGCTCTTCATCTGAAGATCTCAGGACAGTCCACAGCAGGAAAACAATCAAATAGAACCACAAAGTACACAATGAAAATAAGAACATAAGCAAGGCAAGCCAAATAATTCCCTTCCCGCAATCTTGTGGGGTCAGGTTCACGTTCCTGGACCATAGTAAGCCTCAAGAGTGTGTTATGCTCAGATGCTCCGTGTAGGATTCCCATGGACATCTGGTAAGGTTCTGTGAGAACAAAGTGCTGGACTAGATGAGTCTTTGCCCTGACCTTACTATGCTGAGACTTCACACATTCTCAGCACGTGTTCTTCCACTAAGCTGGATCAGCTTTATTATCCCTCCCACCCTGTCCTTCCTGTCATTGTTTGCCTGTTCGTACATATCTACATAAAGGTAGATTAGGTCCAGTTGTGGCCGACTCTGGGGTTGCAGCGCTCATCTTGCTTTATTGGCCGAGGAAGCTGGTATACAGCTTCCGGATCATGTGGCCAGCATGACTAAGCAACAACCAATCACCTGCACACTGAGATTTTAAGTGTGTGTGTGTGTGCGCGCTCGCGCGTGCATGCACATTCACAATAAAATAAGGCAGGCTTCCCCAGATGTTCTGGGTCACAACTCCAGATATTTGGGCCTCAACTCCTAGCAGCCCCAGTCGGTATGGCTGATGGTCAGGGTTGATGGGAGTTGTAGTGCAGCAACACCCAGAGGGCACTGGGTTAGGGAAGACTAGGATAAATACTAACAACATATACCAAATAGAAATACTGCCTGTTGAATATTATGTATAATCACCTGGTCTATGTTCAAAAGCAGGAAATATTAGCAAGAAATTATTGTCCTCATAAGGTAAAGGTAAAGGGACCCCTGACCATTAGGTCCAGTCGTGACTGACTCTGGGGTTGCGGCACTCATCTCGCTTTATTGGCCAAGGGAGCTGCAGTACAGCTTCCGGTCATGTGGCCAGCATGACTAAGCCGCTTCTGGCGAACTAGAGCAGCGCACGGAAATGCCATTTACCTTCCTGCCAGGGTGGTACCTATTTATCTACTTGCACTTTGACGTGCTTTAGAACTGCTAGTTTGGCAGGAGCAGGGACCGAGCAACGGGAGCTCACCCCATCGAGGGGATTTGAACCGCCGACCTTCTGATCAGCAAATCCTAGGCTCTGTGGTTTAACCCACAGCGCCACCCACGTCCCACATATCTACATACTCCATCTTATCTAGCAGAGGGCTTCTTCCACCCCCTTTCCCAATTCCTGCAGCTGCAGGCTGCAGTTTGCCCTCAACTCTTCCACATCTTATGACGAGCCCACTGTGCAGCTTTTGCACACTCGCTCTTGCCTTCGTTCCTGAGGCAGCCAGACCCTGTTCCAACGTCCCCTCCCACAGCCGCTGCAGCAAATTTCAGTCTCCTCTTGTGCGCTTCCCTAGGCAGTACTCTAGGGTCGCCAGTTCTGCTAATAAAGTCTCCTGATTCAAATGCTTTCTGAAAATTGCGTTTCATAGGGACTGCATCCATTAAGAGCAATTCAATTAGTGAAATACCTTTCGGAAGGATTTTTCATCAGGGATGCAATTGGCAAAGGATCGCACGTTAACTGTGCCCCGTTGAGGTTGCTCTCTTTTAGGAAATAACAATTAAATTTGTGTCACGGGCAGCGTTCTTCCTATATTAACTGGATCAAAGGGAATTTTAGCATTTTTATTAAAAGGTGAAATCGTGGGCATGAAAGAGTATTTTTTACGCAGGTCCAATGCAGGAAGTCCAGCCATATCAATCACTTTCCCCCTTGCTTGTGTTAGATTCAGGACCCTACCAAGTCAAGGAGAGGGAGGTTAGATTCTGGGAGCAAGGGGAGGAAAGAGGAAATGCATGGAAAAACCTTCCCTACTCCTTTATTATAGGATTCAGGTCTTATCACATGCCCTGCTTTGGCCTGTTGCTGTTCAAATGGCTTATTTGGTTGTACATGGCATGTGTTTGATGTTACCGGGTCTTTTATTTGGCTAGAGCAGGGGTCGGCAAGGTTTATCTTGCCTGGGCCGGATCGGTGCCACGGAGATCCCTCCATGGGCCAGATGGCGCATGCGCATGAGCGTGCGCACCTGTGATTTTTGGCACCTGCACGTGCGCAGACGTGATTTCCAATGCCGCGGAAGTGAGTCCCCGCGCTGCACCGGTTTAGCACAGCACACAAGCGGGCAGTGCGGTTCGGCAGCGGCTTGTGGGCCGGTCAAACGACCTCCGCAGGCTTCTTCCGGCCCATGGGCCTTAGGTTGCTGACCCCTGGGCTAGAGCTTGGTGGCCATGCATAGGCTACATCCCAACTTGAGGCCTGAAATGTTTCACTCACAATCCCTGGACAAGTGACAATGGCAAGTAGGAAGGGGCTATGCCAATATGTATGAAAAGAGGTATTCTCTGCCTGCAGAGTAAACTATAAGAGACACAGCTTAATACAGCGTCTTTATGCAATTTAATACAGATTCTCAAACCTTTATTGGCATATGTGCAAGATTCCAGTAGTGTTCAATACAAAAAACAACAACACTCATTAAAAAAAACACCAAGCCCTGCATCTAACACTTAAATTAGTGTTGTATAGCATTCACAAATCCTTATTGCATGTTGCAGAAACCTGGCTACTATCTCTATCCCATCCCCATCCTGGGTAAAACATAAGGAAGGCTACCTTGCATTCGTCTGAATTCCAGTCCCTACAAGCAACCAACTGATTAATAAACTTAGGTCGAATTGCCTGATAACAGGGGCAGAACAAAAGGACATGCCTGGCTGATAATTGAATACAGAGCCCTTCTGGATCAGGCCAAAGTCCCAGCTGGTCCAGCATCCTGTCCTCACAGTGGCCAATGAGATGCCTCTGTAAAGCCTTCAAGCAGGACATGAGCACAAGAACTTGCAGTTGCCAGCAGCTGGTACTCAGAAGCATATTGCCTCCAACAGTGGAGCTAGAACATAGGCATCTTGGCTAGCTGCCATCAAAAGACTTATCACCCGTGAATTTTGTCCAATGCTCTTTTAAAGCCATCACAAGTTGATGGCCATCAGTTTAGCAACAGAACATTGTGCTACGTCTGGGTTGTGCAAGGATTCTGGTTTCATTGTGGGCTCAAGTTCCTAACTAGCTTCTAAGTCGTTTATCATAAGCGTAAACTACTATTTTACTCGATCCGAGCTAAGTAAAGGCAAAAATGATGGTGCATACTTTTTGCCGTGACATGGGCACACTTCTTCAGCCATTAGATTCACAAATTAACTTCATGGGGCACCCTGTTTCAAAGCCTCACGATTTTGCAGCCATTTGCATTTGAACCATTGGCCTCATCACAAAACACAGAAGCCTGTCCCAATTATGATTCCCGCCCCTCTAAAAACCATCACTGCTACTCGAGATGGAGTCGGGATTTGAGCCTCTGCTTAACTTCATCTAGCGTTTTGTTCATTACACAAGGCTTGAATGGAACACTCTTGAATGCATCTCATTTACTCTCTTTCATGCTTTAAATTGTTCTTTCCAGGCAAGTTGTTTTGGTACCAGGTGCATTACGACATGCACGTCCGCACTCACACGCGAGAGCACCTCTACTACTGCTCTCAGTGCAGCTACTCATCCATCACCAAAAACTGCCTTAAACGACACGTCATCCAGAAGCACAGTAACATTTTGCTGAAATGTCCCACAGAAGACTGCGATTATTCCACCCCAGATAAATACAAACTCCAGGCCCATCTGAAAGTGCACACGGAGTTGGTAAGTCTGAATCCTGGGCAGTTTTTGTTTTCTTTTTTTAAAGGGAGAGAGTTTCTGTACAGGGAGAGAGTTTCAATCCATGAAAATGACCCCATTGTTTCCCGCTGTACATTTTTCCTTTTTTCAGAACACAGGTGCATTTCTGATGTTTCTCGGCTGCCTAGCTCTTTCCTGCTTATTACTGTACTGCCTTGTTTGTGAAACAAAACATATGTTTCTCTGTGGTTTGCACTGTCCATGCAAAGCCCCATTTTAGGCACGAGAAAGTCTGAATTTTGACAGGGTTATTGCATGTTAAAGAGCAAAAGACTGTCCTTAGAACGTGGCATTGTATGGGCAGTGTTATGCATGTGCAACCCTTACAACGCCAATTCCCCACCAAGGTATCTATGTACTCTGAGCAGCTATGTAAGGGAAATGTGTTTGCATTGGCTTGCTTTGCCAAGAAGTATGCAGAGCCTTACCAGGACGCAGGTGGCGCTGTGGGTTAAACCACAGAGCCTAGGGCTTGCCGATCAGAAGGTTGGCAGTTCGAATCCCCGCGATGGGGTGAGCTCCGTTTCTCGGTCCCTGCTCCTGCCAACCTAGCAGTTCGAAAGCACAAAGTGCAAGTAGATAAATAGATACTGCTCCGGCGGGAAGGTAAACGGCGTTTCTGTGCTCTGCTCTGGTTCCCCAGAAGCGGCTTAGTCATGCTGGCCACATGACCCGGAAGCTGTACGCCGGCTCCCTCAGACAATAAAGCGAGATGAGCGCCGCAACCCCAGAGTCGTCTGCGACTGGACCTAATGGTCAGGGGTCCCTTTATCCTTTACCTTTATGCAGAGCCTTAGAGACTTTAATATCAGCTAGAAGCACTGCCATGACTGTATGCCATGGCACACTGCCTTTTCACTTTCAGATCCCTCCCTTTTGAGAGTCAAACTTATATTTTGGAGCTGGGGTGAACCCAGTTTGGGGCTTTTTTATTCTGCTTTAACTGCAGGCTTTACGTTTTATGAGCTGACACTCAAGGCCTTGGAATACAGGAGATTAGAAAGTCAACAGTTAAGCCTCATCAACTAGGGCCCTCATGATTCCACCTTCTGAGCAGCTTTGGGAATTACAATTTCAGAAGAGCAAGAGGAAATTTTCTCAGCATTCTTTCTTCTTTGCTTCCAGGCTGTGTTTGTACATTTTTCTTAAAAGCACAAGTTAAACGTGAAACACCTTATGTTTTCAGATCTCTTTTATGCTGACAGGAGGTGGGCCATGGGCCAATATCTCCAACAGTTAGAATTTCTTATTAGGGGGGAAAAAATAGGTGAAGAACAGAATCGTTCACCTCCTACTCTGACTAACTGCTGTGGTTTCAGAAGCCGCAGGATGGCTTTTCAGAAGGCAGCGAGGGACTCAAAGCCAAAGGAAGGGATCCGTCTATAAATACACACCGTCTCATTAGTATCATTTCACTTCAGCAAGAGGAAAATTTTCCCTTTAAATTTGTTTTTCAGAGAAAACCTGTGGTTGTTTTTAAGGTCATTTTTCTTGACCTCTGTTTGCAACATTTGATTTCGCACAAGGTGTTAGGCCCCCCACGAGCGTTCGTGTGCATCAGAAAGTTACCCACAGCTTGTACGCGATTTAATAATCTAGCACATTGACTGAAAATAGCAGGGAAGATTTCTGCAACTGCCCCGAGGGAGAGGAGGGAGAGAAGACAGCCGCCAAACATCTGTTACTAGGAATGATGGTTGCTGCCTTTTTCGCACCAGGTTTTCTCTTCTGCCTACCCTTAGGCCCTGCTGAAAAAGCAACAGTTGTGTTTATGGCAGGGTCCGTCACACATCATTTTGGCCCTGCCAAATCTAGTATCTCATGACAGCAAAGGAGATATGGTAACAGGCTTTGCCTTTAAGGCCACAGGTTCCCCCACCCTTGTCTTAAATGAGGACACATTTTTATGGTGTGAGTTTTTTTGTGACAAGTGCATTAGATGTAGCTGTTAAAGTAGTAGACCCTCGACTACAAATGCTTATGCTTCTGTCAGATTGTTAAAGGACTCCTTTGTCATTGTCACCGCATTAGGCTAAGCACAGCTACTCTTCTAGGCAAGTTGTTCCTAGCAATTGTGTCAGCAGGTGCCCCCCTCCATAAGGAGGAAGGAAGCATTGCATCCTCCTCCTTCTTTTACCTCTGCAATCACTTGTAGCTGAGTAAGATTGTCTTCCATAAACACGGCTTTAACAATGAGTCTGTAAGTGACCGCCGAGGCCAATTCTGGATCCACACATTCTTCCACAGTGGGGACATAAGTTTCCGGGCGGGAGTTGATAACAGTGTAGATTTGCCAAGCGTGCCTTCCTCTTAGCACGTTTCTCCCTTCCGTCCTGAGTTCGAGCGTCTTCAAAGCCCATTACACCTTTGATAAAGGCTGCTCTCCAACTGGAGCACTCACAGGCCAGTGTTTTCCCCAATTGTTGGTGTTTAAACTACATTTTTTTAAAGATTTGCCTTGAGAGAGTCTTTAAACCTCTTTTGTTGACTACCAGCATTACGCTTTCCATTTTTAAGTTTGGAATAGAGTAGTTGCTTTGGAAGAGGATCATCAGGCATCCGCACAACATGACCAGTCCAATGAAGTTGATGAGGAGGAAGGAAGCATTGCATGTGATCTCCTGCCAACCCACCTGCTTTTGGCTGGCATGAACCATCAAGCTGTGCATCCACTTTCATAAGGAGTGTGTTGCTTTCCCTTGAAACGTATAGATTTATAGGCCCTGGTCCAGAGATGCTTTTTAAAGGCACCCTAGGGTTTTTTTTTCCCTTTTGAAGGTAAATCATTTGTACTCTATCTCTCTGGGTGGGAAATCATAGTCCAGCTGCACACTAAGACCCCAGGTGTCAGGTAACAGAAATTCTCCATGGGGTCACTATCTAACGCAATATAAGGCTAGGAATTGGAATGGGAGAAATAATACAAGCTTTGATGGACACGCATATTGTGCCGGGGTTATATTCCAGGGATGGCGAGTGTATGCAAAAACGTGTATAGTCATTCCATCCCCTTGAAACCACCCCCACTTGAGGGACCTTACCTTCCGGAGCCAATGTACTAAACAATGTACTAAACTCCGCCTGCCTTACGGGGCTCTGGGAGGCTCTCACGAGACTTTGAAGGGCTGCCTGAGTTCCTGCAAGATCTCACCAGAGCCTGGTAAGCAAGGCAGAGAGATTTCTCAAACTTAGGTCCCCGGCTGTTGTTGGACTACAACTCCCATCATCCCTGACCACTGGGTCTGCTAGCTAGGGATGATGAGAGCTTGATCCCAGTTTGAGAAACAATGCCTTAAAATCTCTTTCCGCTTCAGGAAAAACCCGGTGCCGAAAGAGCTTTCAAGCTCTCCACCTTCTGCATGTTTAATTTGTGCGATATCAACGGCCTGAAGTTGAAATAGCGGAAGTTGGACGGGTGTGAATTGCAAGTCCACAGTAATGTGTTTTTTTGACTGACGGATGAAAAAGACAGCCAAGAGCATCATGTCACAGTGATTCTTGGACTGTACCATTCAGTCTGCAGTTCATGGCAAGGAATTAATGTTTGACTCATCCACCTTACTAAAAAGCTCTGTGCCCAAAGATGACTGACATGCCAGGGAAAATGTTCTCCCTGACATGCCAGCTTGGTGTGCTCTAGGTGGTGGCTTTGTTTGTTCTAAATGCGAGAGGGCGCTCAAGCATGATGTTCCTCTTCTTGCTTTCTGGAGTAGTACAGCTCAGCAATACATTCTCTCTGCCATTCTCCTGATAGCATGTGTTTAGCTCCAAAGTCAGCTTCTGATGGTCCATTCCTTTGCTTTGAAATTGCAGTGTGGGGAGGAAGGTAGAAAATGGCTGCTTGCATGGAAAGAGGACCTGAAAGCACCTTTCAGCCCGAAGCTTAAGTGGGCTATGTTTTAAAATCGGTTCTTAATGCGAATGCAAGACCTGCTACAACTGCAGGGCAGGTGCGGTTTGTCTTCCAATCCTTTCGTGCATTAACAGAATCCGTGACACACAGAGAAGTTCAAACGTGTTTGCTTCACAGGGCAGGTGCAAGAGGTTGCACTGTTTGAGTCACTGCCACTCCCATTCATCATTGTCCTCTCCCCGTTCAACCACCTAACCACTGCCTCTGTTCGCCTTCCACATCCTCCTTGGCTCACCCTAGGAAAGGACAAGGGGGTCTTTCTTCAGAGTGAGGCATTCTGGCCGAGGTGCCTGAGACTACAAGAATGGATGGCGGCTAACAGATTGAGGTTGAATCCTGACAAGACAGAAGTACTGTTTTGGGGGGTCAGGAGATGGGCAGGTGTGGAGGACTCCCTGGTCCTGAATGGGGTAACTGTGCCCCTGAAGGACCAGGTGCGCAGCCTGGGACTCATTTTGGACTTGCAGTTGTCTATGGAGGCACAGGTCAATTCTGTATTCAGGGCAGCTGTCTACCAGCTCCATCTGGTACGCAGGCTGAGACCCTACCTGCCCGCAGACTGTCTCGCCAGAGTGGTGCATGCTCTAGTTATTTCTTGCTTGGATTACTGCAATGCGCTCTATGTGGGGCTACCTTTGAAGGTGACCCGGAAACTGCAACTAATACAGAATGCGGCAGCTATACTGGTGACTGGGAGCGGCCAACGAGACCAAATAACATCGGTCTTGAAAGACGTACACTGGCTCCCAGTACGTTTCTGAGCACAATTCAAAGTATTGGTGCTGACCTTTAAAGCCCTAAATGGCCTCGGCCCTGTATACCTGAAGGAGTGTCTCCACCCCCATCGTTCTGCCCAGACACTGAGGACCAGCTCTGAGGGCCTTCTGGCGGTTCCCTCACTGCGAGAAGCCAAGTTACAGGTAACCAGGCAGAGGGCCTTCTTGGTGGTGGCACCTGCCCTGTGGAACACCCTCCCTCCAGATGTCAAAGGAAAAAACAACTGCCAGACTTTTAGGAGACATCTGAAGGCAGCCCTGTTTAGGGAAGCTTT